GGGTTGAGGGGGTTTGGGCTTTTAAGTAGAAGTGAAATAAATTTGGGATTAAAGAAATATACAATTATAAAAAATTTAAGCAACCTGAATGTTGAGTAAAATGAGACACATCTAAGCAAACATTCTTCCCTTTCAAACATCTATATCTATAGCAGTCCTACCAAAGTTATTTTTAATAAATTTGTTTTAAACATTTAAATTAGTAATAATAATTTATTTGGTTGTTGTACACAGTTTCAAAGACATGTACGCCTACATCATTGTATAAGTCGAGTGGTAATTAAAAGGAGATAGTTAAATGGCATAAGAACTAGGCTAAATGGAAAGCTCTTTATTAGTGTATCGAAAACACTTTATTGGTTCCACATTTTTATAATATTTTTGTTTCAACTTTTTACAAGGTTTCAATGTGTAACATATGCTTAAGAAATATATGTACTTTTGCAAAAAGCAAAAATGTTTATAAAATAAACACTAAACAATTATTTTCAATTAAAATTTAAACATTATTTTAAAAAACATAAAATGAGAAAGAAGTATTTTAATATTATACAGAACCACATTAAAGAGTGCTACTTATTTCCCTTGCTTTTAATATCTGCAGCTAAATCTACCCCAAAACCGTATGTTGCGGGGGTAAGAGGTAGGGCCCAGGTGCGTAGCGAGGGGATGGGGCGGGGGGTGCGGACCGCACAGGGTGACAGCATTTAGGGGGGTGACACCAAGGCAAAAAATAGCAAAATAAATAGAGAAAAACTTGAGGGGGGGGGGGGTGCAAATCGAAAGTTTGAGGGGGGGGGGTGCAAATCGCTACGCCACTGGTAGGGCCCCCAGTCTTTTAATGCCCAAAGGACCCCGGCTGATCTGTTACGCCTCTGGTTCGAATATACGAACCTCGTCAACGTAATCAACAGCTGAATAAACCAAAATACATTTACGCATTGCTGGATAAGGATAAGGGTTGGGTTAGTGAGGATATCTATACTAGCGAACATTTCGATCGGATACTAACATGTATTGTTGGATGAGGGCTAGGGTTGGGTTAGTATCGATAGTAGCAAAAACTTCGATAGGATACAAACGTATTGCTGGATAAAGGTTATGATTAGGTTAGTGAGGGTATCGATGCTAGCGAAAACTGATCGGATTCGAACTGCTGGAGTTAATACAAGCAATGGTTTATTTCTGTTTCTTCCGGAGGCTTCGTGGTCAGTGTTTCCTTAAGACATTTTTTTCTCGCGGGGGGGGGGGGGGGGGGCACTGCTTTTAGAGTATACATTTTCTATATAACAATTTTTTTTTCTATTTCGTTCGGAGTTACTATAGACTTGCTTCAATGGGGGAGAGATGGCCGGGGGGGGGGGGGGGGGGTGCAATGCCTGAAAGAAACTCTGTGCTAGGTTGCAGAAATAGGTTTTATGTACTCTTCCGATATAAGGTACCAGAAGATCATTGTTCGCCATGCACTGTCGTATGAATTTAAAAACAAGTCTTTGAAGTCGTTCTGAAAGAACTAAGAGTGCTTTCTGAGTACTAGTTGGGATGGGGAAAGGGAGGGGGGGGGGGAGTGCGTATGTAGGGCTAGTATTAGCACGCTTCTATGCCCAGTCTATGGCTTATCAATAAATCAATTGCACCATCCGAACTGACAAGATTCTTGTGTAGAGGTCGGTCCCATTCTCCTTTGCTGTTGTCTTTTAGCCTTAATAAAATCGGAAGTAATTTTGTATTCATTTTTCAAATGTTATAAGATATTCAATTTTGGTTGAAAACTATGCTATCTGGCACCAACCATTTGGAACCAGCTTTTCAAGCCTGTTTACGAAAAATAAAAATGAATATATCTGCTTTTTAAAAGTGCGATTTATGATAATATATCTAGAATCTACAGTTTGATGAGAATAAGTGGAAACTCTTTGTAAAATTTTAGTTAAGCCAAATCAAATCATATTCCGCATGGTTTATGAGTCATATAATGGTAATTAGATAAAAATTAATTAAATCCACGATAATTACAAACATTTATTAGTTTGATAAAAACTTGGCTTGGCTAATTAAATTAGAAATTTGATTTAGGATTCAATTTTTAATTTAGCTTTAATGAAAACAGATAGGAGTAAATGAGGCAGTTCATCAACGTCAATACGGTTTCGTGATTTGGAAGAAAAAAAAAATTTGGTTTTTACATTTTTCGCCAGGGGTTTGACCTGACATCGCACATCTCTGTTTCACGCTTAAATATGATTAAAACTGTTATATATAGTTGGAGAATTATATTATAGGATTATAAGCAGTAGCGTCGATAGGTCGGGTGCCACCCGGTGCGCCACCTTTTGGTATCACCCCACCCTCCTTATTTTTCTCTAAAAATTTTGCATTTGGTGTCGCCCCCCCCCCCCGGTAAAATTTTAAAGTGTTCACTTTTAATACTAACGATATTTATCCATAGTGGTTGTTGATAAAGCTGGGTTGGGTACGTGGTGCGATGGTACTGTAATATAACTTTTAATTGTTTGTAAAGTGGTAGGTCTTACAGTATGTTGCTAGTTGGTGGGTTATAGCTGCTTGCTAGATGGTGGGTTATAGCTGCTTGCTAGATGGTGGGTTATAGCTGCTTGCTAGATGGTGGGTTATAGCTGCTTGCTAGTTGGTGGGTTATAGCTGCTAGGTAGATGGTGGGTTATAGCTGCTAGGTAGATGGTGGGTTATAGCTGCTTGCTAGATGGTGGGTTATAGCTGCTTGCTAGATGGTGGGTTATAGCTGCTTGCTAGATGGTGGGTTATAGCTGCTTGCTAGATGGTGGGTTATAGCTGCTTGCTAGATGTTGGGTTATAGCTGCTAGGTAGATGGTGGGTTATAGCTGCTTGCTAGATGGTGGGTTATAGCTGCTTGCTAGATGGTGGGTTATAGCTGCTTGCTAGATGGTGGGTTATAGCTGCTTGCTAGATGGTGGGTTATAGCTGCTTGCTAGATGTTGGGTTATAGCTGCTAGGTAGATGGTGGGTTATAGCTGCTTGCTAGATGGTGGGTTATAGCTGCTTGCTAGATGGTGGGTTATAGCTGCTTGCTAGATGGTGGGTTATAGCTGCTAGGTAGATGGTGGGTTATAGCTGCTTGCTAGATGGTGGGTTATAGCTGCTTGCTAGTTCGTAGGTCATAGCTGCTAGCTAGTTTTAGATCATAGCTGATAGTTATGTAGTGGGTCTTACATTACAAAGCTAGGAGGTAGGTCTCACAGTATGTTGTACATGGGCGTTATAGCTGCTTGCTAGATAGTGGGTCAAAGCTGCTTGCTAGATGGTAGGTCATAGCTACGTAGCAAAGTGATAGGTCATAGCTGATATCTAGGTGGTAGGTATTACAGTACCAAGCTAGGCGGTAGGTCTTACAGTATGTAGTTTGGTAATAGATCATGGCTGCTTGCTAGGTCTTTTAGGCCTTATTTACCAGAAAGGTTGTAGATCTTACAAAAAAGTAGATGGGTGGTTTGTCTTAGTAGCTTGCTAGTTGGTACGTTTTCTAGTATGCAGCTAGGTGGTAGGCAATAGCTGTATCCAGATAGAAAGCCATACTTGTTTATGTGGTAGCACACATCTAGATGTTAGCTTATGGCTATATTATACAAGATAGCTTATACAGTCTCATACACAGATGCAATAATATTACGACCAAACCTAAAATTTAAAAATAAAATCGATTTAAAACGAACTAGCCTCTTCCCTCCCCTTCCCTCCAGCTCTGACTTTAAGCAAAGAATGAGGTAACCAATTGGTGAGGTCCTCGTTCGCCCCGGCACACATCATCTGATGGATACGTCCTGGGGAAAGTTTGATTTCCTCACGTTCTGCCCGTTCATGTGCTATTAGTTCTTCGCCCTAGAATCAATACACCCCATCCCCCCCCCCCACCCCACACCCGTTGATGTTTGTGTACTGGACTGTGGGGTTGAAGAACTGATTACACAATCTATTGTTTGTGAGGTTTTTTAAAAAAAAATATTATGACGTCAGCAAGCTTTGGAAAAAGTAGACCAAGAAAGGCGTATATTGATGAGCAGTTTGGCTGGGCACCATCACTCACCCACCTCATTCCCGAGGGGTGGGTGGAGGGGGGGTGAGTTATCAGGGGCTGGTTGTTAACGTTATGGAGGCTGGATGTTATATAAGAGCTTGGCTGTTTATGGACAATACGAGAAACGTCATCCCTCTCAGCCAAAGTGCTTTATTAGAAAGTAAAGTTAAAAATGTAAAGAATCCTCTTTAGACATTGCGATCTATGGCCAGATGCAGTAGAGTTCATATTTTTTCTGAGCTTTTTCTTTCCCTATCATGAGTTAGGTACCCATTAGAGCTGAGTGGACTCTGAAAAGTTCTTTTATTAGATAATGGTAGTAAAGTAGTCTGACAAACCTGACGGTCCATAGTACAGATGAAGTAGAGTTCACTGACTTTGATTTTACGACAACAGATACCGTGGCTACTGTCGTATACGACTTATACATTTGCTCAAAGCATCGGTAGTTGTGTGTTTTTATGAATAATTTATGACTAGTATAAACATACGGACGCTAGAGTTGTGACGTAAATGTCCACATGGAAATGACCTATTGACTATCATTATTCCCTCCAGTCCAAAAGCGCCCAGAAACTTCGATGCTAGGCGGATATCCCCCCACCCCATTCACGCACAAGAAAAGATTTTTTTTTAACTGTTATTTAAACAACTACTCCCTGATAGATCAGCAAGATTAAATCTTTAAAAAAAAATACCAGTAAATTAGCAAATTTACGGTAAATAAATCAATTTATTACTTTTGTAATACCGTTGTATTTTTTTATAGATAAACACATTAAAATATAAACACAATATAGTTAAAAACAGCTATTAGAAACACAAATCAGACACTAAAAAATAAAGGGAAAGAATGTTTTAAACAACCCATAAAGTTGTCTCCCCTTGTCATAAACCGTATTTAGCATCGATCGCGCATGTCTATCAACTAGCCGGGACATCAACAGTCAAACATGTTTACCAAACGCTTTATGCTGGAGCTAGTTCAAGCAGTAAAAAAATAAGCCGTGTTGTTCCGTTTAAGTATCGTGGTCAAGAAAATGTAAGTAAAAAATTGCTTCTGCGTGGATGTGTAGGCTATCTGCGTGTATGTTCGAGTGTCGTAGGATGTGTGTAGATGTGTTATAATGGTCCTGATTATAAATTATTGCAGGTGTTTTTTTTATTACTTTTAATTTTAAGACATAAGCGGGAGCCAAACGACTTCCAACGATTAGGTAATAACTTAGTAATAAGACTTTATTCGATAGTGACATGTATCATCTGTCTAATGATATAGCGCTGGTTTTAAAAAAAATATATTGTTTTCTCTTCATAAAAACAAAGTGCCCATACCCTATTCCGACCTACCTAATATAGACAGTTACAAGCCTCTTGAAACATCCCACCCCTACCCTCCCAACACACCTGCAGCACCCCCCCCCCCCCTCCCCCGTCAGCATGGCATCATACGTGTATGTCTCTAAGATACACAAGTCAAGAATTACCCTGGGTGTGTTCTGTCTATTGATTGCTACACGCTGGCGCTGCTGTTCGTTCACTGCGTGTTGCTGGAGTTCAGAGTTTCTTCCAGGCATCTCTTCGGGGGGGGGGGGGGGGGCGAAGCCCCCCCGAAAATTTTTTACCGCCCCCCCCGAACGAAATGAAATTTATATAATTTATATAGAAAATATATACTTTTAACAGTGTCCGCCCCCCCGAAGAAAGTTTACCGCCCCCCCGAAGATTTCAAGTGCCCCCCCGGAGAAAAAAGTCTGGAAGAAACACTGCTGGAGTTTGATAAGGGGGCAGTGGCGCTAAGTGTCTTACCTATTGCTACACGCATTTCCGGTCACGAAGAAGGATCAGCAAATAGGCCTGCTATACATATACATCATTATATACCCTGCTATACCTGCACCTAGACCTACACTGGCACGGGCACGGGAACTGACACCGCCACCTACACCTACACCTACACCTACACCTGCATATAAACCGAAACCACATTCATATACACCTATATATGCACCATTTATCCAAAGTATCCAACATCCACCACTACCACCCACGCCAACAGCCACTACTACCATCCACGCCAACAACCACCACTACCATCCATACCAACAGCCACCGCTACCATCCATACCACAACAACCACTACCATCCACGCCACTACTACCATCCATGCCACCACTACCATCCATGCCAACAGCCACCACTACCATCTACGCCACCACTACCATCCATAAGTACAGCCACCACTACCATCCATTCCAACATCCACCACTACCATCCATGCCAACAGCCACCACTACCATCCATGCCACCACTACCATCCATGCCAACATCCACCACTACCATCCATACCTACAGCCACCAGTAAACACAGTTGCGTGATCTACTCAAGTTTTTTTTATTTTCTAATGGACGGCGGACCAGGACATGATGCTCATTCTTTATTTAAGTGGCTCTTGTCTGTCTGTCTGTCTGTCTGTATGTGTGTGCGTGTGTGTGGTGTAAGTTATACCTGTGTGTGGTTTAGTCCAGATGGATTGTGTGCAAGTTAGCCAGGATGAAATGTGGTTAAGTTAGTCGGTTAAGTTAGCCAGGATGAAATGTGGTTAAGTTAGTCGGTTAAGTTAGCCAGGATGAAATGTGGTTAAGTTAGTCGGTTAAGTTAGCCAGGATAAAATGTGGTTAAGTTAGTCGGTTAAATTAGCCAGGATGAAATGTGGTTAAGTTAGCCAGGATGTAGTGTGGTTAAGTTAGCCAGGATATATCTAATTTAGTCCTTTATATACGTTCTTTTAAAAATAGAAACGCATTTTTTTTTAACCTTGGTGAACTATATCCATTATATAAGTTAACTTCAATTTAGATTAGCCTCGATTCGAGAAAGCCACAATCTAAATTTAGCAGGATGTCAAATACCATCTCTTTAAATTAAGTTCCCCACGCCCTTAACGCCTACAAACTAAACATCTTTTTAAAAAATAACAATAGAACAGCAACTCAGCGCTAGTGACGTACTTGAAAAAGGCCCCATTGACTGGAAAAATGTTACACTAGTGTGAGAGTGTCGATGTTTTAACTGGCAGAATCGGTAAACCGATAATCGAATACTTGCATGCCGAAGATTCTGTTATGTATTCGAGTGGATGATTTGGCGCAAGGGATTATGGGAAATACTAGGCAGAAACAGCTACAGGGGCCTATAGAAGAATAAAAAAAAACATTATATGTTTGTAGCTTTTATTTCAGAGTGTCAAAATCGTGTGGAGATTGCATGTTTTTAGAAAATCAATTCGTTTATCAGTTGTTCATTAGGCTACTTAATTCAGTGTTGGGTTTTTAAAAAAAAAGAATTAGTGTTATCAACGTTTTCCATTAGCCACACATTTTTAGCGTTATATCTTTTTTTCATGCATTTTATTAGGTCAAATGTCTGTGGGTTTGGCGACAAATCTTGTAACTTAGATTTGATCACATTCTCATTTAGCACTTTCTTCTAAGTTTTGTCTATAGTTGTGTTTCCGAAGATAATTCACGAATATCGAATTTAATATTACACTAATGATTTAAATTAGTTGAAGCCTAGTAATCCACAACAGAAGGGAAATAACTAATAATGTAATATAGGTTTTGTGATATTTAAAAGCATGAATGCACCGGAGAACACAGATTTAAATCACATATTTTTATTCGCGAGAATTCGAAATTTAGAACGATATCAATTATTGATAAACTAAAATATCAACTAGCTATTATATTTTTTAATTTCCTAATAGAAAAAAATTTATAACTTTTACTGTTATATTTATACCTAAAAATAATCTAGTTTCTGTTTATTTTCAAACTGTGTGTTATAAAAGCTTTTATAGAGCTACTTGTTCTATTTTCTTCCCTTCTCCTGTCCCCTGCAATAAGTAGGCCTATCTCAACACCTTTAAAGGTACATGGCGATTGAATGAATAATGTAGTAATGCATAATAGACACACAGACTTACTTTCATTTGTAAATAGGTCTATAGACCTGTAGATATATATGCCTAGTCAAAAGCAGTGTTTCTTTTATAAATTTTCCCGGGGAGGGGGTGCGGGCACTTTATACTTATATTTCCAGAGGGCATTCACCGGTTAAAGTGTATATTTTCTATAAAAATTATGTTTTCTATTTCGTTTGTGTCAGTGTCACCCACCCCCTCCCCACCCAAAAAAGGTGCCTGAAAGAAACTCTGGCCAACAGAAAGGTCAGATAAAATCAACAAAATGGGATTATCTTAATGACCATCACGAGGATTAGTTTAATTAGTATCAGCCACTCTAATTAGCTCAACGCTGACCTATATTGATAATATAATTAGGGCCTACACTTTTTTTTTCTGGCATATTAGTCCGGCCGAGTTGAAAGCTAGACTGAAAGCTAATCAATCAGATCCCAGAGAAAGCCGGCTCGCTTAAGGTCATGGAACTAATGCTGCTGCGCACTGTACTGTGCATCTAAGTTTTGCACCGTGCATCATTACGCGTACCAGCATGGTGGTTTACAGAATCTCCATTTAATGTTGGCGTAGTAGCCTAAATAAGACATCATCGATTCTTTCAACAGAGTGGATCTTGTAAAGTTAGATAAAAGCTTGTATAGCAATAGATTTAGATTGATTCTACAGCCTTCAGCCTTAAAAAAAAAATATAAAAAAATTAAACTCTTTCTTATCTATTTGAAGCATTGAGACGCGCTCTCAGCAGGTAGCGTGGCCGAGCGGTCTAAGGCGCTGGTTTAAGGCACCAGTCTCTTCGGAGGCGTGGGTTCAAATCCCACCGCTGCCATTGTTTTTAAAAACTTAAAAAAATAAACCGGGAGTGATCTCCCCTAAACTTTCTCGAATATTTTTATATAAAATAACAGGGGATGGGAACTCGGGCTATAGACATGATTTTTAATCCATATTTAATACTTAAAGTTTTAAAAATAGAATAAAATCTCTTAGACAAATTAATTGCACACCAAGTGAACGCGAAATAAAAAAGCGCATAATAGTGCGCAATATTATTAGTACTTTTAAAATTTACATTAGTGTTTTGAGAAATCGGAAGTAGCGTAAGTTACTACTTCCGGTCAACGGAAATTACTCAAAATTTAACAGAAGGTAGAGAATTAGATCTTTTACTTACATGTGAAATTTCATTTATCTATCTGAAATAGTACTCAAGTTATAGGCTTTTGAAAAATTCAAAGTAGAAAAAGTACCACTTCCGGTTATCGGAAATCGCTCAAAAGTTGATACGGATCTACGATTTTGATAAAATACTTATATATGAAATTTCATCAACCTAGCAGTAACGGTACTCAAGTTATCGTGTTTACACACGGACACACAGACAGACACACACACACACACACAGACATACGGACAAGATTGCAAAATTATGTTTTTCCGTATCAGTGAGGTGTAAAACGTCGAGATTTGTAAAAATCTCGATTTTTTTTTTTTTGCACGATTACAATACTTTCTCTATACTACGTATATACGAGAAAGTAAAAATCATTTTATAATTTGCAGGTTTTAAACATTAAAAGAACCACGTCCAGCGAATTATTAATTTGCTGATTGAAATTATTGATCTTTTAAATCGATAAAAGCTTTAAATCGACCGGAAAATAGTGTATATATCAGCTGGCTGATCAGAACTAGCGCGATTTTAAAATATCGATTCAACAATATTGATCCCAGTGTATCATCAATACGTTACCAGTTCTAACTGTTGCTCAGATGGAAATTAAGTCTAGTTACCATCGACGATGGCTATATTTTAACCCCCCCCCCCTCCACCGCAGTCTAGAGCTATTTTTAGAAGAAGCTGAAGTCCTATGGTATCAAACATCAAATAGTTTTAGTAATTTTAAAGGGAGACTTTACATTGGATACATTTTTTTGTAGTTTCGTCGCTGATTTGAACCGTCATAGGGGTTGTGCACATTTTATGTAATGCTAAGTGGTTGGGTTTATTCATTTTGTTATATTGTGTGATGTGGGGTTGGGGGTTGGGGGGTTAGTG